ATTTTAAGGAAAACGTATTTTTTCCTTAGTTTTAGCCATGTTGAAGCTCGTACAAGTAAATGGACTGACGAAACAAAGTGTTGGTAAGGTAAAAACTGATGTAAAAAATAAAGGTTTCATAACGGCTGAATCAAACACACGCACCTAGTGATGTGACGTGAATAGTTGGTTTTACTGTAATTACAAAGCGACACGCTGATGTCACACACACGCCCATATTTAAACAACAGTGGTTCCAATTCTTTTGAGTATTCACTAATATTTCCTTCTTGCATTGGATTCAAACTTATGACTAGCATTTGTGTATGTATGTATTTTCAAAATTAAAGAGGGCATTGAATTTTTGTTTCTCTCACGAGAGCTTTATTCAGTTTTTTTTGGATTGGCCGGAAGAAAAACAAAAAGAGATAAATAAAGCTTACAGTTTTTTTTAAATACTATTTTATCATTTTTTAATATTAAGGCTTGTAGCATGAAACGTATGTTTTAGAAAGAGCACGTGCTTGTAAAAAGTGTTGTTATTCTGTGGTAAGTCCAGCTATGACCTGTTGATTAATGTGCACGGACTCTTGTATACTTGGATTCATTATTCGCGCCCCTTTAACTCTCTCATATCCAACTATTAGGTCAGAGAAATGTAACCCAAGAGTTGGTGGAGGGTACTGTTGATTAGCTGCCTTTATTTTAATCTGTTAATTCCATTTTTAGGCCCGGCATGGCCAGATGATTAGGGCGCTCGACTTACAATCTGTGGGTCGCGGGTTCGAATCTCCGTCACATCAAACATGCTCGCCCTGTCAGCCGTGGGGGCATTATAATGTGACGGTCAAGCCCACTATTCGTTGGTAAAAGAGTAGCCTAAGAGTTGGCGGTGATGACTAGCTGCCTTCCCTCTAGTCTTACACTGCTAAATTAGGGACGGCTAGCGCAGATAGCTCTCAGTGGAGTTTTGCGCGAAAAATTTGAAAGACAACAACAAATGTTTAACAATAAAGAAAGCAGACTGTCTTGGAATTTTAACAAATTCCACGATGTTAAATTTTTTTATAAATTGTAAATTACTCTGCCAAGGGTTGGCTGCTGTTGTGTGTTGAATTTCACGCAAGGCTATTAGAGAGATAACTGAACTAGTCGTTCCTAATTTTGAAGTAATAAGACTAGCGGGAAGGAGTTAGTGAACATCGCCCACCGCCAACTCAAGGGCTACTTTAATCGAACAGTGGGATTTTGACCGTCACTCTTATAACATTCCAACAGGTTACGGCCCCAAAGCGCGGAACGCATATTTCTTTTATTTTTTGCGGTATTGGGACGCGAACATCGGATCCCAAGTTTAGCACGCTAAACAATGGGCTGCACTCGGCCCTAAAGGTTGTTGTTGTTTGTTATTAATCACAAAGCTACACAAAGGGCTGGCTATCTGTGCTCTGTCCACTACTGGTATCGAAACCCTGTTTCTAGCGGTATAAGTCCACAAACATACCGCTGTGCCACTGGGGGGGGGGGGCCTAAAGGACTGGTACTATAAGATGTAAGTGTAGTGAAGAGACCGTCTACGACTTCTTTCTCCAAAAAATATTAAACCTAAACTTACTAAAGAAACAAAACCAACACGTACATGTTTAAGGATATTAAAACTAATAAATAGATAATAAATAGAGCCCTTCAGTGACTCAGGGATAAGTCTGAAAGGTTATGACGCTGTTCTCCTGCCTCAGCGGTAAGTCTGAGGGCTTGTAATGCTAAAAGTTGGGTATTCAATACCCGCGATGGTCAGAGCACAGATAGCCCATTGCGTAGGCTTTATGCTTAACTATGAAAAAACTTATTCGTACATTTGTAATTGAATACAAATATAGTACAGAGCACGTGTATCAAAAACACCAGTTCTACTAATGAGTTTGGCATTGTTTATGGTCACTGTTCTGCTAGTTTCCAAAGTGAAAGTGGTTAAGACAGTATCTCATTCCATACGAATCTACTTCTCAAGGCTTTTAACCTTATAGCCACACACCCTTTATATTGAAGCACGACAGGCTATATTGGATAAAGAACCCAATACC